TTTAGTTTTTTTTTTTTTTTTTTGCAACGAGCAGCAATAAGCTAGCTTAGCTCAGCTTGGCTTATAATACGTTTATTGTATTATTTTTATATAGATTAGACGTCTCAAAAACAACGCGTTACTGTGAGCTATAGGTCTTATTAGGTGGATTCTAAGTTTGGTCAGATGTTATTGTTTTCCCTCACCTCATGTTTTTTTTTTACTTTCTATGGCCTTTAATAACAATACCCGTTTAAAGAATTAAAGTTCTCATGGGTCCATCCAGCTAACAACTAGTCCAAGAACCTATTTCAGAGCAGATTTCAGTCATCTAATGGCATGACGGCTCAGTGGTTAGCATTGTTGCCTCACAGCAAAAAGGTCTTGTGTTCAATCTCCGGTTGAACGTCTTTGTGTTGAGTTTTCATGTTCTTCTTCTGTTTGCGTGGGTTTCTCCAGGTACTCCGGTTTCCTCCCACAGACCAAAAACATGCATGTTAGGTTGCCTTCAGGTCCAGGCCTCCCTTGCAAAAGAGATCTGTGATCTCAATGGGACTTGCCTGGTTAAATAAATGTTAATTAAAAAAACGTAAATCCTCAAAAATTTCAATCAGTTCAACTGAAAATCTTTTTATTTTTATTTTGCACTACTCCACTTTCAGATGGTTACTTATATAAACCGGTCGTGTTGCAACGTGGTCTGGGGTCTGCTCCAAAATGCTTCATGTGAAATGCAAGTTGCATAATAAAATGAATCCGTTCAGTTTGCATCATGCAAAAGTGATGTCTGCTGCAAACTCCACTTCAAATAAATTCCCTTAGAAACCAGAAAGTACATGTTCCATTTTGTTTACAATTTGGATTAATTAATTTATGAAACATTAAATAAAAACGGGCTTGTTTTAAAATAAAGGAGAACCTGATTCTCATAAAAGCTTATCTGACAGCTTCGTCAAAGATCACTGAAGCTGCAGGACTGACCGTCTTGCTCTCTACATTTATTAAACAATCAGCCGACCTTCAGCTGAGTAGCACTGAGAGCTGAGACAAAACCCTGCATAGCTAGAGCTCTCCTTAAAATAATTTACATTCCTTTCTGGCCACCCTTAAATATACACACTGTGTCTACACTATACACACTTCATGTCAATCTTTGTGGAAGAAAGTTATTTTTAGTTAATGTATTTTTTTACACATAGGCTAGAACTGAGTTTGAATATTGGACGTTTTTGAAAACTAATTCATAATGTTCTGTGTCACACTGTCTTAATAACAAATTTAACATAAAATAATCCCTGTTTTATTCTACTGCACCTTTCTTCACTTCTCATTCCTTTTCGTCTTTGTTGCTGGCTACTCTGTTGCTGTTTTTAAAATTGCATGTCTATATCCATGTCAAGCAAAGCCAGGGATGATGGGATAAGTATTTACAGCTTGTATTATATCCCAAGGTTACACAGGCCAATACAGAGATGAACAGAAATGATGCACCTGTCAGTATTGAGCCCCCAGTTGACCACAGTACGATCAGCTCACAACTACGGCAAAAAACAGATGACGTCCAGACCTCCTCTTTGTGCAGAAATCTTCAAGCAAAAACCGATCAAACAGCACAAGACACGTTGTATAAGTTCAGGAAGTCAAGTGAGAGCTGCTCAGTCATTTTGACTCATCAAAAACAGTTTCATTGTGACAGCCCTGCAGGAACTGAGAACATCCCAGAGCGTAATATTTCACCTGCCACCCAGGAAAACCAAGTTGACGCAGCTATAAAAGCGGTCGAAAGGACAAAAGTACAAAATGACGAGAAGGCAGAGGTTAATGGTACCAGTAAGTTGGCCTCGTGTGAGAAGATACTTGAAATGGAGACTGAAGCTCTTGGTCTGCACAAGACTGAAGGAATTAAAACATTGAAGACAAGTGATCTAGAAAACAAAGTCCCCAGTGAAGTAACTGGGGATACTTGTAATTTAGGGAGGGAAACGAAAGAGCCCACATCAACACTGGTGGAAAAAACTAGCTCAGATACACAAAAACTGAAGTCAGGTGTGTTTGACACAGATCTTTCAGAGCAAACACAAACCTTGGAAAACATAACGTCTCTTAAACCCATCAAAGACTCAAAACAACACCCAAAAGCTGAACCAAAAGTAATATCTATTGCTGAAATTATGAGGTCGCAAATTAAAGCTCTTGAGTCAGTGCAAGCCAACTCAGGATCCAGCACACCAGCTCAGGCTAACTTAGCTCAAGGTCTGACAGTAACAGCAGGAGCCTCTCAGGAAGGAGGTGAAAACATAAAACACAACAGAGAATCAAATGTTTTCAAGCCTGACAATAAAACTGAAGAAAGCCCCAAATGTCTGCCTCTCACAAACCTAAAGGCAACACTTGTGAAGATTGATCAACCACTAGATGAGAAGAAAGAACAAGCTGCAACGTCAACCCCGGCTCAGCCTTTGAATGAGCTTCCTGTCTCTTTCAGAAGCACGGACACACCCAGAACAGAGCTTCATGGAAGAAATGACGATGAAGCTGAAAACGATTCCTCTTTGGGTTCTGATTCCAGGTCTAAAGGTTTGAAAGACACACTTCTTTCTTTAACTTCTAAGGACAAAATTACTGAAACGCTTCAGTCAGTTTTAAAACAATCTAAAACTATGAGTCAGAAATTTGAGTCTCCAGTTAGAGAGACACACATCAAGGCCAGTTTTCAAGAGACAAACGTTACAATTTTGGAGCACATCAAAGATCAAACTGTTCAAAACCCCAACACAGGATTTATACAAACACAAGTTCCCGCCAAATGTCTTGACAGCAAAGTAGAAACAAGACTTGAAGAAGTTGACATACCTCTTCCAAGTCAACTCAAAATGGACAACGCAAACACCGCTTCTTCACTCGGGTTGCAAACAGATCGTACTGAAAGCAAACCTAGCCCCGCCAAGCAAGAAAATGATTCTCAGGTTGTCCAGCAGGAGAGCTCAGAGGTTAAAGACCATCTAAGATCGGAGTTCTTGAACAATCTGTCTCCAGAGCCAAGTCCACTTGTAAGGAGCAAAAACTGTATTTCTCCTGTCCCGTCTGCGAGTCTGAAAGAGCTGGCCTCTGGGGCCCGACGCAAACTCTCAACACCCTCAACCAAACCTGAGGAGGCCCACGTGGCCACGTCGTCCACAGACAACCAAACTCAGACAAAGGGATCATCTGTGAAAGGCACCAAGATGTCCACCAGCACTGCGTCTCCCAGCCCGTCTCGACGGCCTCTTCTTCTGCAGCCGGCTGGAGAACAAAGCTCAGTGACAGAACGGCTGTCTCCACTCTTGAGCCGGAGGAAGACAGTGTCTGAAGCTCAGACCCCAAACCAGGCGCTCACTGAACAGACCCAGACTGAGGGGAAACCTGCAGAGGATAGACACAACCCATTCAAAGGTAAAGAAGTAAAAAAAAATGCATGTCTTTTGTAGGTTTCATATAATCTGTACATGCTGTATATCCCTTATTTACCTTTTCAGCCTGAACATTGTGATGTAATCCAACAAAGTTAAGTCAGGTCATCTGGACAGTTTCTTTTTTTTTTGCTGTTGAAATATTTCGTCCTTCATCTAAAGGACTTCATCAGTCTGAGGAGCCACAACTAACTCAGTTCTATAAGTGGCTTACTCAAATAGTGGACCAACCAGTTTTATGGTGATAACATGGTTTCTGGAGTCCGTCCTCTCCCCCGTCGACTCCTCTGAGGCAGCCCTAACCGAAGTGGTTCAAAACATCAAAGTTCATGCTCATTAATCCAGGTAAAAAAAAAAAAAATCCAACAAAGTTAAGTCACTTCCTCTGGACAGTTTCTTTTTTTGTTGAAATGTGAACCATTTTGGCTATGGCTGCCTCAGAGGAGTCGACAGGGGAGAGGGCAGACTCCAGAAGCCACCTTGTCACCATAAAACTGGTTGGACCTTATGGGACTGAGTTTGCTGTGGCTCCTCAGACTGACGAAGTCCTTTGGATGAAGGAAGAAATGTTTAAACAAACAAACAAAAAAAATAAAAAAACGATCAGAGGACCTGACTTAACTTTGTTGGATTTTTTACCTGGATTATTGATCTTGAACTTTGATTTTGTGATGTAATGTTCATAGATAATGTGAACAGCTGTGGAAAATCTAACAAATGGTTTTGCAGATCTGTTCAGTTTACTTTAAACTGACGTCAAATAAAATTTGTTTTTATGCATGCAAGGAAAATTGTCCCATTTTTCACGCAGCTAAAAATAAGAATTTTGCACCAGACTGCAATCAAACCACCAACACTGAAAAATGAATATGTTCAGTACAAAATGAAAGCAGTCATTCTAAAAATCACAGTAATTAACACTTTGATCCCAATGTACTACAGCCAAACTATCTCATCTAACAAAATGAGTCGTAATCACAACAATCCAGCCAACAAAACAATATGATAAGAGTGAAATGACAACTTTTTCTCTTTTCTTCCGTGTTGGCTTACTGTATACTCATGTTAGGTGACTGTGGTACGTCTTAACACCTGTAGAAGGTTGGAGTTACTGAACGAGACAGAGGCTTGGATCCTGGATTTAGATTTAGCTGTTTTTGGAGTCTTTGTGTGGGACATTTATTTAAAGTTTCATTTTAAAGCCTGGTTTCATATTCTCAGATTCACTGCAGGATATTTGAGAAGACAGTGTTTTGATTTCAAATAGATCCTTTCACTTGGTTTCCACAAGCTCAGTTTTCTTCTCCGACATGAATGGTGGCATTCAGACTAGGTTTTGGACACAGAGTCTCCATATCCCTTCTCTTTCTAATTCTGACCCAATAGTTATCATGTTCTGCCTTAAACTGTGTTGAACCAGGCAATCAAAGCCAAGATCAGACCCATGGTTGAGTGACCATACCCGTGCCATTTTTTATTTTGTACAGCACTTCGGACGGCTGCTTGTTGTATTTTAGGTGCTTTAGAAATAAATTGGTATGGTATGGTATGAACCCATGTGCAGGAAGGCAACAGGAGACTCCAGGTAAAATAAGTAATTAAAGTTAATTAAAAAAAAACTAAATAAAAGTCTTGCCAGGGCAACAAAACTTTGAAGGAGTAGATGAGACACGGAGGTAGACAGGACATGAAAGCCTTTCGAAGGACAATCCACAGGCAACTGACAAGAAGCAAGGATGCAGAATATATAGAGACACTGATGAGGAGGAAAGACAAACACCTGGGGTGATTGGAATTAAGAACAGGTGTGACAGGAAGAAGAAAACACGGGAGTGCAGGAGGACACAAAACACAGAAAACCCCACAACAGTAAAAATTGTGACATGTATAGCAACTGACTGGACATCACATGCTCTCATCAGTCAATTTCTAGTTTCAAACTGAGAAATGTTATACGTTAGAGTAACATTATTTAGACATAATCAACAAAGTCTATGCTCAATAATCCAGGTATACAATCCAACAATTTTCATTCAGGTGATCGGGACAGTTTCTTTTTTTGTTCTGAAACGTTTCACCTTCCATCCATGGACTTTGTTGGTTTTGAACCAGTTTTACATGACTGTCGACGAGGGAGAGGGTCGGCACCGGAGGAGGGGGCGTGCCAAAAAAGACCATCTTAGCACCAACATTACTGGTTTGTTCCACTTTGGAGTAAGCTGTTGGGGGAAGAATCAGTTTTGTGTTGTGTTTCCTTGACTGATGAAGCCTTCTGGATGGAAGGTGAAACGTTTCAGCACAAAAAAAAAAAACTGTCCAGATGACCTGACTGAAAATTGTTGAGTTATTTAGACATTTACTTGTGCCTTCATTTGTCATACATGCGTTACATCTTATGAAACATTGTGGCAGCTTGGACTCGTGATCGGTTACCTTGCAGAACATGTCCTCACCGTGTGCTCTGTGTTGGGGGTCTCCTCTGCAGCTCCTCAAGTTATCCGTAAAATCAGGGCTGA